GTTGATTCTAAGCGAAGAGGTAGTGTTACAGATTTGTATATATATATATACATTGGCTCCAAAAAGTTAAATGGAAATCGAATTAAAATTTTTGCAACTTTTCTTAACTATGAAAAAAAGTAAAGGTGATTGTCAGAACTATGTTACAAAATGCATTTACAAAAAAAAAAAAAAAAAAAAAAGAAAAAGAAAAGAAACTTGCATTACTGGCAGGAAATGGTAATTACTTTAGTTTTATTTTGTGTTGTTGCAATTCGTAAAATTTCCTCCAAATGTCTGTCAGCCGTGTTCTTGTTTTCGATTTTAGGACTTTCATTTTACTAAAAAGCTGTTCACATATGTAAGTACTGCCAAAGATAGAAGACATAAAGAGTGCATGTTTACAAATTCCTAGAGACTTTGGTCAAGTACTTCGAATAAAAATCAATTAATGTAGGATTTTCAAGAAACTTGCATTTTACTGCAGAGTCACATTGAAAATCTATAAATTCTAACTGAAGTTCAGATGGTTCTTCCAACGTCTACTGAAAACGGCAAGTAGCATATTCTCATAAAAATTTTATTATCACGAAAATCGGAAAATCTGCTTTTGAATTCCTTTTTCAAATTTGAAATGCATTGCACATAATTATTTGAATTTTATGTTGTAAAGTTCTTCACACACTCCATCAATTTTGGAAAGTGAGTGGAACTCTTATTTAGCAACTGAGTTTCTCGGAGGATTAATTTTGTTTCAAAAGCTTTCACAAAGCAATAAAGATTACATGACAAGTAGATCTTTACCCAGTAAGCGGTAGTTCAAACCCTTGAGATGATCTGTAACATCGACAAGAAATGCAAAGTCTCTCAACCATTTTTCATCACTAAACTCATGGGCACATTGAGCGTGCCGCTCAAGTAATTTTTATTGACGATAGATTTGGCATCTCTTGCAAACCTGTTAGAGATAAGAATCTACTTTTTTATGGAATTGAGATTTTATGCGTAGTCAAATTTTTTATTTTTAAAATTACATAAGATAAAGTGAAGTTTTTGAAAAATTCGTCATTTTGAGAAAATTTTATCTCAAGTAATATCAGGCATGTCAATAAAATGTTTTAAATATCAAGAATAAGAGAAAAAAAGTTTTTTTTACGAGAAAAAGCTGACAAGGCAATTTTTATTAAAATCGAAATTTCTTTAAATTCTTCAGTTTTTCTTCAAATTGAAATGTGGGGTCACTAAAATGCCTTCAGTGGGTCATGGGTTGAAGACCTTTAGTCTGAAGCTTTAAGCATCGTAGTTTCTGTCATGGAAATTCGAGCCGCGGACGTTTTGCTTCGGAAACAAACACTTAAGCGGCTGGATCAAAAGCATGCTCAAGCCGTTGAAATGAGATCGCGACCCATTAATTTAAATTCTTTTACAAACAGAAGTGTTTGGTCAAAGATCAGAAGATTTGTAACTGGACTGGATTAAGACTTTTAGAGGTCTAAGAATTTAAAAGATTTAGATGCCTCCACATAAAGGTGTATGCTTGTTTTTTTTTTTTTTTTTTTTTTTTTTTTCCCATTCCTACTCTGTCTTATCTACACCATATATTCCATGGTAAAATCGGCAATGGGAAATTTTTGAAGTGCCCTCTGTCATGAAGGACCTCCCGTAAATAATTCAATAGATCAAAACACTATGATGCCTAGTAATATTCCATTACTTTCTTTTCAAATATTAGTTTATTTTGCTTAATAATTAATCCATCTCCTGTGTGTAACTAATTTTGGTACATGTTGGTTATCTGGTTTCATTTAAAGAAATTAAATAATTAAGAATCAGCATGAATGTATGTTTCTCGCATTGTGAAAAAAAAAATACTTAGAGTAATCAAATTTTGAATAACGTAGTCCTTCACCTGAATAAGGGCACCTGGAAGCCCGAATCATGAATTTCGAATTTGCTTTATAATCTATTCATATTTTTAAAACTTTAACGAATTTTTAAGAAACTTAACGATTTCAAAGCGAGCAGTGGCAGCATACTGTCTCCAGCACGCGATATTATCTATCAGAAATTCTAAAAATGTGCTGGTTTAAAATATTTTAAGCCCAATATTTAGGCTTTAGCCCAAATGCTCTCGAAACGCGTATGTGTCTGTAAATGAAAGGGGAAAAAAAACGCCTGTTGGGGCGCAATATAAAAATCTAAAAGCTTTCAGGATTCCCCCTCCCCCTTGTTAATGATTTCCCCTTCTCGCTGTGTGAGGGTAAGGATCTAAGATAGTGCAAAAATGGATCTTTTTTATTTAAACTTTGATTTAAAGACTCGCATCCATATGCAAAAAATGAAATGCATCTGGGGATCAAAGGGGAGGTATAAGCAGCAGTGTGGTACAGCTCGTCAGCATTTGTCTTTTTTACTTATCAGAGTTCATACAGAAGCTGAGACAAACTATAGAGAAATGATTCTCAATCTTTTTAAAGCTGACTCCCCCTTAAAGAGCGAAACATTTTTCAACGCCCACTGTGTGAAAATCCTGTAATTTAGAGTATGGGTAAGGGGAGTTCCTAAATTATAAAAGGCAAATATTTTAAGTATTTTTTTTTTTTTTTTCCAGTAGACTTTCACACCAAATTTGTTTGTTTAACTCGATAGTTTGGAAGGTAATTACATTCCTTTGGTTAAAACTGAAATGACTAATACAAAAAAAGCTCTTAAACTCTCTTTCGTGTTTAAAAAGCCTTTATTCTTAGTTAAATGATTAAAAAAGAACAGCAAAAATACACTAAACGAGTAATATCAGTGAAAAAAATCAGGTATGATCAGTGGTATGTTGTGCTTGATGCTTCAGAGTCAGTTTCTGAACATTCGGTTCAATAATTTTAGAGAGCTGAAGGCGCAAGCAACTCCCCTCTTTTCCACGGTTTGGAGTCACTTTTTCTTTGTTGTAATTAGATCAATCGCAGCACTGAATCCTCGCTTGACAAGGTAGGAGGAAGGGAAGGCAATTGAAAATGATTTGACGATAGTTCACAATCCTGGGTAGAGGCGACTGATGCTACTTTGAAGCCACAATTCTGTGAGACGATCACCATTCTGGAAACTGCCTTTCAAAGTTTCATTAGTTGAAAGTTCGATTAGTTCTTCCTGAATCTGAACCTCTGCTTTCTCAATATTCTTTAAAAGATTCATGATCCATTAAGGAATTTCTAGAGACAAAATATCCTCAAAACGCTCAGAAAAGTCCTTGTGAAAAGACTCGAGGTGTTGACAGTAAACTTATGTTTCATCGAACGGGACTTCACTGCTCTTATGCAGATCCGATAATATTGGAAATCAACTGAATTCGTTACGACCAAAATTCTGCTTCCACTAAGTGAGTTTTTTAGGAAAGCAAAAATAACAGATTTTGTTGTGATCAAATTTGGGCTCTTTGCCTTGAAGCTGTAAATTAATTTTATTGAATTTTGCGAATAAATCAGTCATGTAAGCAACATCAATCTTAAATTGTAGCAATATGAAGAGCTACATCTTTCTCATCGAGAAACTCAAATTCGAAGTCGAAAAGATTCCAGAACCTACTGAGGCAGGCGCCTTTGGACAGCCAGCGAACCTCGTTGTATAAAAGAAAGCGACTGAAATATTCATCGTTGTCCTTAAACAGCTGCCCGAATAATCGATTGTTGAGAGTAGTAATACGAATTTTGTTCATAGCAGAGATGACATATTGTAACGACTGATTGATGCAAACGGTCGCTGAGGTATTTTGCAACTAAATGTTGACTATGAATCACACAGTGAACAGCTAATGGCGCATGGAAATAGCTGACGCATGGCTGTGCTGGTTTTGATCGCAAAAATACCGTAGTATTGAGTTCTTCAAAATCATCCTACCTAGAATATAAATTCGCTTCATCATTCTTAGGAGCAGTCGCGTAAGTTCTTTTCATTGATGGTACAAATAGTTCAAACCGGGTAATCGATTTAATATATATATATATATATTTTTTTTTTTTTTTTCCAGTTTTAAAATTAAGTTCGAATGCCAACTCATCGCCCCTACCGCCTAAAACAAGTTTACCGCTCCTCAGCATCTTCTTACTCTCCCCACACACGTTGAGAGCCAGTGCTATAGAGAATAACAAATTGTTTCACTCCGTTTTCAATGCAAGCGCCAACCAGTGGAAGCTGGAAATCGGAAGTCAAGATTTCATCCCTAAAATTCACCGCCGCATTGTTTGCGACTTATCGGCACATGCAGATAACCAACATGCCTTTACTTTTGTGTACTGCGCAAGCGAATATTATGTAAACATATATGTTACATTTTTATAGCATTGTTGTATTTGTCTATTTATATATGAGTATATATATATATGTGTGTGTGTGTAAGATATAACAAAATACGATAGCTGCTTTGAGAATAATTGGCGTCTTCAAAATTAACTATTCCAGATTTGGTACTCTCTCCCTAAATTCATCCGTTCTTACAAATTCGAGATCCTTCCATGTTATATAACACAACTTGAAAAAGGTAACTAAAACTAAATATTAACTAATAATAGCTTGTCTCTACAATTGCTACTACTTCTATATAAATACCGTTGGCGAATCAATTGCATCATTCTTCCTCTCCCTAGCTGCTGCTCTGCCAACACCGTGCTGCTTCGCTTTGTATAAAAATTATTGTAATTGCTTATGATCAAAAAGTATATTGCCTATAGAGATATGATTTTGATGTGCCTAAAAATAAAGACGGTGATTCACCGAACTTAGTTTTGTCAAGTTTCTTCGCTAGGCATCTATTACGACACTACCAAATTTCCAAAATCATTCATATCGTGTCGTATATATATGCACAACAGTGCTATAAAATAATTAAATGCTTACTACTTCATGAGAAAAACCTAGACGAAATCCACAGAAAGAGATTTAAAGATTAAGAAGGAAGGGATAGGAAAATAGAAGACATCAGTACTGAAATTAAAAAATTTGTATTGTATACTCTTATAAAATCAACCATTTTATTTGACATATAACATTAAAGCAATACATGTAAATAGCAAACCCAGTATAATGTGCAAAATACAATAAAGCTAAAGGGAAATATGAATCGACAGGCTTTGTCGAGTGTTTGCAGGTTTTCGTCAAATTCGACACCTACATGTTCTTCCTGTTGTGGCAAATTTTTCTTATTAGCTGAAGTTCGGAAACGGCCTTCAGCCATTGAATCAATTTTGCAACCACGGCATCTTTTTTTCGACCATGTAGACATCGAAACATCTTCGCGCTGTCTGCGAACCTGCAAAATACATCATGTAGTATAAAAGCCCTATTATGAAGTAGACAATTATTTGCAGCTAATGTCATGATTATCAATTACCATTAAGTTTCTTAAGCAATAAACAGTTTTTTTTTGCCTCGCTTTACGAAAGGTACAGTATTCTTATGAAACAAAAATTTATTCTATATTTTCATGATTTAAAGTTTTTCAAGGCCTGTTATTTCATAGCAAACAACACAAAGCCTAAAATATGTTACTATCAGATTCCAAGTTCGACATAGTACGAGTGCATCCACTGTTGAGAAATTCCCGCTCATAAACTCCTAGTGTCTCTATAAAGAAGAAAAATATGATATTTTTGTATTTTGATAAATTGCTTATATTTCATTCTTGAAGAAAGAGGATTCTATTTATTCAGCCTCGAAATGCATAAAACGTAAGAAGAAGATATTCTTTAGAAGTCTCAACTTCTGTTAAAGGGTTTGTTTGCCAGTGAAAAGGCATGCATTCGGAGACAGAATCGATTTTTGAAGCTTAAAAATTTCTTCTAAAATAAATAATATTAATGTTCTAAAATAAATTTGTCTGCTAAAATTGTAGTTTATTTGCAAAAAAAAAAAAAAAAAAAAAGTATTGGAGTCCTCTTATCTCCAACTCAAATTAGATGTATCAGGTATCTACTGCTAATATTTAAATTTATTCAAAATCTGAGAAACATCGGTTCCGGGCTCCTGCATAATTTGAGCACTGTTTATTATGTAATAGAAAAAAAGCTCAGTGTTTTAAGGGGTCTTTTGTGAGATTATCGACCTGAAGTCTCAATGAAATTTTGATAGAAGATACTAAAAGAAGCTTCTGATACGGTCAGTGCGTGCTTTAACATAGTTAATAACACTATATATATATAATATATTAAATTTATATTAAGACTTTCTTCGTAGTTTCAAGTGGCTCAATTAGTCTGATACTCACCTTTTGGCCGTACAAGTGATAAACAGTAGCGTACTCTATGAGAGACAGGAACACGACAACGATACAAAAGAAGAGCCAGATGTCCAATGCTGTGAGGTAGTTGATAGGAGGTAAGTTGTTTCGAGCTTGAGATGCCTGCGTGGAGAGAGTTAGTAAAGATGTTAACCCGAGTGCCACTCTCGCTGGTACTGCTCGAACATTCAGCCAGAACGAGAGGAAAGAGAGAACTACCACCAAGCCGCTTGGGATGTAAACATTGAAAATATGACTGCTCAGATGGCGAACGAAGGTGAAGTTGGCATATAACGCAGTGAAGGTACCTGAAAATGAAAGATATAATAAAATAATCTCTCATAAAATCTTTTAATTATTAAGTTATTGAACATCGTGCAGATCTTTGGCTTGAAGCGAGTAAGATATGTAATTGAAAAATATATGTATAATTAAGCAAAATTGAATCTTCAAGCTGACATTTATATAACGAAAAATTATTTGTCTATAAATATTTAGGCATGTCTTCTCTTTTCTTTCAAAAATTTCTACAGTGAAAGTGGGAGCAAAATTCAAAGAAATATTTGAATTCGCACTGCACCAGCACCAATTAAAGGTTGTTAAAATTAACTGATAAATTACATAATAGAGACAGATGTCTCTATTATGTAATTTATCCTCAGTTAATTTTCTGTATAAGAAGCGACATAATTCGGCACATAGGGTAAGTGCATTTTAAAATACTTTGCTTAGAATTATGTATTAGTAAAAATTTTGTACCTTGGCCCAAACTAATATCCGCGTTTTAAACGAAGATTTATATCAAATCAGTTAAAGAAGCTTCTTTTCTTCTTGTTTCCAGTTCATAGTGAAACGATATTATAGAAACAATATGATAATCTTTGCTGAGCTTCGGCTAGAAATTTAAATCAAAAGCTTAGGCAACCAGTTTTTAGTACATTCTACCAAAATAACTCTGAGAATTACTTTTTAGACTTGACCTATTGATGTAATCGCCTTAGCTGCACATTATTATCTTAATTCCGTCATTAGATTCTAAATAAGGGCTTATGAGGCGAATTCGTATCATGTAAGCCAAAGATCCAGTACCAAAAATAAAAGTGTGTTCTAAAAATTACCATAAAAAGGCGGGTGGGAAAGCTTTATTTTCACATTGAAACTAAGAGACGTATGTTGTTCAAAGCAATAAATGAGCGTCACTACTAATTAACATTAAATGAGAATGTTTTCGTATTTACAAACTTTCTTCTTAACATCTTCTCTGCAGTTTGAGAAAAATATGTATTTTCCCATTGCTTGATGTTAGCTAAGAGATCTTTATGAATTTTGTTATATGGAGCTAAGCACTTGTGAAATTCTCTGCAAAGTTTATGCTTTTTTTTAAACGAAGGACCTTCATTCTGAAAATGAAATTCTAACTATTCGCCTGAATGGAGCACAATTAATTTTTTTTTTTTCCTCCTCCCTTGGTTTGGTAATATTTTCGCTTAACGGTGTTGTATTTTAACATGCTTCGATTTCGAGGTGTCAACAGTTTTGAAAGCACTTCGTCAAGGGATTCAATTCTTTGGTCTTTAGTCGAATAGCGTTGCAATGAAAAAGGTTGTAGGAATACCGTCTTACAGGGAATTTTCTCCAATTTTCGTACCAACCCTTATTAGTAAATTTTAGATTAAAAGGGTTATTAGTCTCGAAATGCGATTTTGCGTAGTCCAGTGTAAATATATTGTTTCACTTTTTATTCGAGTCTGTTGTCATATATTGTGTCACTTATGTTGTGCACCTATGTTATATGTTTGTCTTACTTGTGTTATATAATTATATTATTTATATATTTTGTAAAAGTCTGAAAATAAAGGGGAGATTTGATTTGCTGAGAAAAAGACGTTAATTAATAAGTAAAACTAAAAATGAGTTTTAAATTGAGCAATTTATTTTGTTAAATTATTTCTGTGAAATTAATATTTTCTACATTAGTATAACATTTAAAGAGACGTTTGGTTAATTATATAGTATATTAATAGTATAGATTGGTATATTATATATTATATTATATATATTATATTATAAGGATACAGCTCCGATCTTCCTAGCCGGCACAAGCCGGCCGTATGATCAAAAAATGGTATTGGCCAGAAAAAACACAAATATAAGAAAAAAAATCCCATATAAAATCCAAAATCTGAGTCTCAGTGCCGAATTCCAACTCTGTTCTATTTATAATCTTCATTATTGTTTCTGAAAAAACTTTCAAATTTGAATAGTTCCTTTTAAAATCTTCCTTAAAATTATTTCTATATTTCTCTCTTGCACTCCGGATAAGCGGACACTCATCGACGAAGTGCTGGCGTCCCGAAACTTATCACAAATTAAGCATTTAACATTATTTTGTAGATGGAGCCGATTAAAATAAGCCGGGAAACGCCCATGATTAGTCAGTACCTAATTTATATCAACATTATTTATAATATTCATCTTCTTGTTTAACTTTATATTTTTCATTAACTCTTTATTATTATTATTATTATTATTATTATTATTATTATTATTTATTTTATTAGACGACTCCCAGCAAAAATTCCATTCTGTATAAATCCAGTTTTCCATTTCAGTAATGGTCTTTTTAATCTTACGAAAATAATTTCACTTATACAGAAATATAAGTTTAAATTATTTTGTGTATTTTTTTAAAAATTATTTTGCTTTGCTTATTCACATTAATTCTTTCATTCAAGTGAATGTTTTCTGTCTTTTGCATGTGTAAACATGGTTTAGCTTTCTGAAGACCATTTTTATATATTTTTGAATAATATTTATAACTTTAATTATTAATAAATTTATCACAAAAGCACTTCGGAAATGAAAATTATGTCGAAGCGGATGATAAAAGTGGAAATGTATGAAAAATTCTGATTCAAAAAAATTAATGAATTGATAACAATTTATTCAAAGAAAATGAAAAACTTATTTCATCAAAATGGATCAAGAAATAACATGGAATAAATCATCAACTTCAATCATCAAGAATTCAATATAAATCTTACAGCTTAGTATGAAAGTTAACGAGATGTGATAGCTCAGGAAAATCCATTCAAAGTCTATTGGAATGTTGGAATGATTTTATAAAAATGAAGAGATTTCATACATTACACTAATTTACACAAATAACTTATTGATAGTATAAAACGAAGCTTTCAATGTGGAGGGAATTATCTTGTAGAGTTAAAATGTTTTATTTCCTCTCTGTAGTGATTACAAGCACATAGCACAAAAAGATTTTAAAAAGGTAAAATTAAATTATTTGTCTTTTACATTATTTAAAATTAGACCAAATAGCTCCCTTATTTCGACACACATTTTAAATAAAACTGTGCCGATTTCGAAGGCAATCAAATACAGGACTCTCTTCGTCAAAAGCAAAAAAATTCGATTAATTGGGGAAAAGATGTTAAACACTTACCACCAGACCAGTGGTAGGAACGGGATCCTGGTGTGACATTCGCCAAGTAATACTTCAAAGGCTGAATTTTAGACCAAGTTAGATCTTTTATTCCTAAATTTCCTTCTTTTCTTTGATGCAGCCATTTCAGTATCATTTTTGTATTATCATTCGCTACTGAAACGAAATACTGGGTTATATAATTAATCCATTCGAACTGTATATATAATTCTAATATTTAATTTTACAATATAGGACTAATATTGTAAAATATTTTAAAATAGTTATATGGCAGTTTTTCGGTATTCAGTGACTTTTGGAGAAGCATTAAATATAAACAATTCAAAATTAGGAAACAACTTTTTTGATATATTTATAATGAATCTTATAATTGTGATGCAGAAGACAGTTAATCAGGAATTTTGTTCTATTTTGAAGATGTAAATAAAATGGATTTTCAGCAAAAGTTTCACTTTGAAAAATTCAATAGATGATTTTTATATTTTGGACAGTAGTTAGTCCAAAATCGATTCTGATTATACTGTATCGATGAGTATGACCCAAATCTTTTCGGAAATAATTGGTTCCTTACAGAAAAGCCCACCAAGAGCCCAAGCGGGAAAGCCGTTGAACACTGGTAGTTAGGTCCGAGGTTCGAATCCCGGCGAACGGGCTGGCTGCATGGGCGTTTCTGTGGTTTTCTCCATGCGTAAAGTGTACATAAGCCAGTTTCTCTTCGCAAGTCATCCACGAAGGCATCCCTTCCCTTAGGCAGATAGCCCCGTGCGCTTTGCCTTAATCAAATATACCCCACCATCTGACAAAAAAAAAAAAAAAAAAAAAAAAAAAAGTTATCGTTTGTAAGCACAAAAAGAAATGTTACCGAAATAGATGTTTTTATAGTAGATCAGGTAAAAGATTTTTATTATAATTATATATGCGTAAAATGTAATACACTTGCAGGGTTTGTCCAGAAAGCAGTAGGGCTAAACTTTTTTTAAAAAAATTATTCACAATTTTGACACAGCGATTTAATAGTTATCAAAATATGTCCCTTCTGCATCAACACAGCGTTTCCAATGACTCTGCCAATCACCGACGGCTTCTTAAGGGCCATTCCCACTGGGATTTATCTGAGCTAAAACGGAGTCAGTTCAATGTGTCGACTAGCTCTGCTATTCCTGCAGTTCAGATTTTTCAACTTGCTGCCCTATGGGAAAAAGCTGGTGTCAGCTGTGTGCGTTAATTCCCATTGGAATAAATCCCATTGGGAAAGGCCCTTTAGAACGCAGAACCTGGAATACTCTTCAGCTCCCTCGCTACGGCCTCTTGAGTTAATCATAGTCTTTGCTTGAATGGCCTGGACAGAGTCCTGGTGCCGTCCTTTCATGACCTTTTTCAGTCGGGGAAAGAGAAGGAAGTCTGAAGAAGCGACATCTAGGCTGTACCTGTACTTGGAAGACTCAGAAAACGAGTCGCCCTCGGCAGTCCAGCAATCGCTGGATCATGGAGCCTCCGTCACGATAATGCGCCAAGCCACACAGCCTTTGCTATCATGAACTTCCTGACCAAATATGGCATCGCACAGCTTCCTTAGCCGCCCTACATACCAGATGTCACTCCTTCAAACTTGTTCCTCTTCACCACGACTGAAAAGGGTCACGAAAAACGGCACCATGGCTCGGCCCAAGGCCCAAGGCGTTTTGCTTCCGGAGTACCTTTGCAAATAAATGCAATAACCTCCACAACTTCATTAAGAAAGATTTGAATAATTAAGAGATGGTGCAGACCATTCAAGAGGCCGTAACAAAGAAGCTGTAGAGCATTCCAGTTTCTGTGTTTCAGAGGGTCTTTAGTGATTGGCAGAATGGCTGGAAATGCTGTGTTGGTGCAGAAGGTGTATATTTTTTTAAATTATTAAGTCGATGTGTCAAAATTGCGAATACATTTTTTAAAAAAATTCAGTCCTACTACTTTGCAGACAAACCCTATATAAAGAACGAAGTTTTAGTAATTGTGAAGGAAACATTTTTTTTATTCTAAAATTTGATTTGTCTTGATTTGTGTAATTTTTTATGATTCTAAAAGATTGATAACTGAACTTATTCATTTAAATTTGGAAGCTAGGAATCTTCATCTAGGAGCGACTTTCTAAACCTGTTATCTAATGGGAATGAGTGCAGTTTTATTCCTCTAATTTATGCTTTAAAAATAAAAGAAACTATCACTATGTAGATCAAAAGGTTACTGCATTAGTAAGCGGATTTTATTTAAGTCTTACCAAATATTATTATATTTTATGCGTATAGAATAGTCAAACAATACAAAGGGTAATCATATACTTTTAGAACGATAAAGAATTTAAAAAAAAAAGCAAATGCTTTAGAATAAAAATTTTTGGCAACAGCCTATTATTTGAAATGATATATCGTATGCTACTTTAAAACTTATTCTTCTTTCAGAATACTATTTGTAAGCAGGCTGTGGATTGGAAGATATATTTTTGCGCTTTCCGAAGAAAAATATTCCTTTTCCATCATTAAAAAATGTAGCGAAATGCGTGGTATTAAAATTTCAAATAAATAAGCAATATTATCAATCAGAAAGGAGAAAAGCGTCAATCATTACTTCTACATGGAAACAAGACTCCGAATACATGGAATACCCAAAGAAATACCTGAAAAAGGTACGTAGTGTTTCTAAAGTTAAATCATTTGTAACAAGAGAAAATCCGCCGAGGCGCAGAAGTTTTATTTCAGAGTCTTAAAATACCTCTGTAGCTATAATAAATAAAACGATAAACCAAGATTTATATTTAAGATAAAATAGCACGCCGAACAAGTATTAATTTAGAAATCATCAAATATCAGCGAAAATTTGCAAATATTACGTTAATTTTTGTTGCGTGACTTCTAAATTAATCAAGATTTACATCTTGAAAAAGCTGAAAAATATATACTGTTCACCAGCTTTTGTCAAGGCATTTGGCTCAACGCAGAACAATTTGAAGAACCCTGTATGAAAACTGTTTGCAAAAGATAAATGGAAATATATTGTGATCCTTGATGAAACTAAGAGGAGTTTTTACCAATTGATTTAAATTTTCACTAGACCATTTGCGGTAGTAAGAAAAAATAGCCTCTCAGACGGTATAGCGTTTAGGGGTGCGATATCGAACCTGACTGCGATACCGAAGAGCCATGGATGTAAAATTGTCTGTCTCTTCATAGGAGGTAGCGGTGACCACCTATTAGGTGCCTCCACAAAAAAATGGCCACCACTTCTGGCCTTATGAATGGCCAGTGCCGCTATAAGCAAGAGCCCGCCAATGGGGAACAAAAGTAAGAAAAAATAAGATATATTGGTACTATTCGGTTTCGAGGGCCGTAAAAAATCGCCAAACTATTGTTGATGCCAATGCTGCCAAAAATAATTGTGGCAACCCTAATAATTGCGGCAATAAAGGAAGTATAATAGTAAATAACTATCTAAGATTGATGTTTTAATTTAGATGAAAGGTTAATTTCATATAATACTTTTTATTATTATAATTTATATGAAAATACTAAACATGACTGAATGGATGCATAAGAGTAATAACTATTCAGATCATTATTATAATTATATAAAAATGTAAACATAACTGAATGGATGCCTGCATCGCTATTTCGCTACCAACTAATTTCATCTCGTTGTTTGTTCAAACGTAATTTTCTATAATGAATGATGCCTTTTCTTTGAAAATATTCTCGGTAAAATGCAGAATCGCTCACTTATTTGTTTTCCGCTTTTACAAGGGTAAAAACAATTAGATTTTTGTCATTTCTTTTACTTTTTTTTTAAGTGAAAATAGGTCGATGTGTACATAGATAAAGCCAAGGGTGTGCGCAGTGCCACTTTTGTGCAATTCTGGGATTTTTTTTAAAGTGAAAATAGGTCGATGTGCACAAGAATACCGAGTATGTGCAATTCTTAAAAACGCGTGGGGGCCCACCAGCGGCCGAGCGGTAAAGACGCTGAACACTGGTAGTTCGGTCCGAGGTTCGAATCCCGCAAACGGGCTGGCTGCATGGGCGTTTTCGTGGTTTTCCCCATGTGTAACGTGTATACGAGCCAGTTTCCCTTAGAAAGTCCTCCACGAAAGGCATCCCTCCCCTTAGGCAGATAGCCCTAGTGTGCTTTGCCGTAATTAAATACACCAACACCTTAAAAACGCGTCAAACAATGGGGGATTCTGCACTTTACCCAAAATTCTATTGCCGACTTTTCGTCATGGGCAATTCCCAAATTGTTAAATCCATAGGATATTAAAAAAGGATTTAAAATCAAAAAAAGGATTTAACTAGTATTTCAATGGCATCTTAAGAAATATAGAACTATATAAACTTACCCAGTCTGAAATGAGCGTGTACGTTAGATTTGGCGCGCTGTTGAGTGGGCGCGTATGCTAAATTTGGCGCTTTTGCGCATACATTTTCGCTGCAATTTTTTACGGTCCTCAAAACGGAATAGTACCGATATATTTATGTACACCTATCACTCGGAGTCGAGAACAAATCCATGATCGAAGTTTATCTATTATTTGGTTGGAAAAAAGTGAAATTATTGCATGCAGAAGCAGAAAATCATACGAGTTCTGCCTTCACAGATGCGTGAATAAGAAGTAATTCGTGAGTGGTGGGAAAATACTATTTGCTTTGGGAGAATCGCATTAACACCATCATTGCTTGAAAGCCTGCTTTTTTAACAATTTTCTGCTGTAGTTTTTGCTTCTTTAATTTTCCTTAAGTGAGGAATAATATTACTTAGGAAATAATTGATTTTTTTCATCTTGTAGCCACATCATAGCTCCATTAATTTCTTCAAGGGGGGAGGTTTGAGTTTGTTTTTCACTTTAGTAACTTAACTTTAATTTTACCTTTGTTTCGCTGAAAGGTTTTAAGAACTTTAATTCGTAACTTTTTTGTTTTCCTGAACAGATGGAGCTATAATTGTTGCCTTTTTTAATATTAACTCTTATAATATTTTATTTGATTAAGCTTCGATTATTCTATTGGACATAAGATCTGAAGGTAATCACGTATATAATGGTATATCTTTCCATTGCGAAAAGGTGGCAATGATTGCTTTCTTATCTCAAGGCAAGGTATTTTTTTTTTTCAGTAATGGGTCAAGAG